ATATTTGGGACTCTCTGCTCGTGTACTATAGCTATGCTTCCGGACTCTTCTGGTACTGTCTAGGACAATCCGTACTACTCCAGAACGGTCTAGATAGGTCTATGCCTTACTCATCTCTTACTCATCCTATGGTGCGATACGTCGCAATTCTTTCACCATTGTATTATTCATCGCACTATGGTACATGTGACTAACCACTCTTCGATTAGTCATGGACACTTCTCTGTAGTATATAAGGACTTCAGATTGCGTCCTCCCTCTTCAGTCTTTCCTTACTGACTGAAGAGTGAGTACTTCATTACATCTACCTCTAACTTGTAGTTACTTACTTAACCTTTGTAGTCTTGCTTCGACTCTAGGTACAGTTGGTTACTGCAATATAGTCTTTCCTTACTGACTGAAGATCTTGCTTCGACTCTAGTCGGATCTAATCCTTGTCTTCACAGCCCCGAGTTTATCATCGGGACAGTCAAATGTTGTCGCTCATCCCAAACCATCCCCTACCTGTGCAGCCCATATCGGACAATGCCATTATGTATGGTACACAACAAGGCATTGCACGCCTAAGTTTCATGGTAATCCAACTATGTGTGAGAGGGATCGGGGACAATCATTCCAAATTTCTCTTATCGCACGTCCCTCGGTCCTCGGGAGAGCGCTTAATTCCCTTGTATGGAACGAAATTGCTGTTGCCGAGGATAGCCGAACCCGGATATGGTATGTGGACATCTAAACGCCCGATTGCTTGAGCGCAAGAACTACCCTTCCACACTGTGTCGATGACTATCAGGGCTCAGTGTCAAAATCTCACCATATAAAGTTGCTGAGAGAAGGAGATATATGTCGCCTTGTTGTACACCAGAAATGGGGCACGCCCATGGGCACGGTGAGTATAGATTTGGGCGGGAACCAGTCCCAGATTTGGTTTTCGTGTAAATCTTGTACAGAAACTGGGCTGGTGACTTCACTTCTGGGTCGCCTCTGATGAAATCTGAGGAGAGGTGAGCTGTAAGAAGTCTATATAGATATATACAAAAACCTGAGGCAGTAGGATAGAGGGAGGGTCAGAAAACGCGCAGTGTCCCGAGGACCCATGGTGTCCCGAGGACCCGTGTATGACTGTATACATGAAACAGTTGTTGTATGGAAGGGTTGGCAAATCGACGTCGGATGGCCATTCTATATACAAAAAGTGATCATCGATGCATGAAATCGAGCGTGGATAGACGCCGAGCTGTCATCGCGACAGCTCTAAAACGATGGCAAAAGATGGCATTCGCTGGCAAAAGCCACAAATCGTAGGAAATAGGGAAGGTTCTCACTGGGGCTCAAATTCCCCCCCATCCATGACGCATATATACGGCGCAATGACGGTGTTTCGTTGTATCTCTAGACCTCCCGGTCGTTTTGTATAGTATCATATCTACAAAGACCTCTCTGGAGCGGCGCAAGATCCTTCCAACTCTGATCATATCTCGAGTTCTACCTATAAAATATACCCGCGAGCCAATATCAGCCTTCAGCATTCGAGCTTCGATGATGACATTGGTCGCAGTGACAAGTTCCTTACCTCGCTCAAGCTTTTCATAAGTTGCTGCAACCCCTTCTGGATGTTCAGAAGGTCTTCTGCTACGATCTGACAATCCTCGCACCACACTTCGGGGCCCGTGCCTGAATCGTCCCCGACGGCCCGAGTCGCCTCGGTGAACAACTCGGACAGCGTCGGTGTAGTTGATCCAGGTCGTGAACGGAGGCGTGAGGATAGATCTTTGAGATAGCGGGTGAGCCAAGGTTCCGGGCTCGAGGTCGGTCTGCAGCTCCTCTTTGCCGCCTTTTTCTTCTTCCCTCCCGGCAGCGATGGCTCCACAGGGCAGGACTCGGGGACTACCATCTCGACCGGTTTCGGAGAAACGAGAGATGTAGAGATCTTCGTGGACTCCTCCTTCGCCACCGCGCGACACTTCTCGTAGTAGAGGAGGAGGCGATGGTACGCGAGGGCAGGGGTGCTTTCTAGTTCCTCCACGTACACTCCGTCGAGGACCTGATTCAGCATGCATCGAGCAGCCTCCTTCGCGCTAAGTATATGGCCGGCGCGAATTGCATGGCAGTATGCGCGAAGAGCGTCTGTAGAGGCAATGGCCTGCCAGAAGGACCATACGGCGGGCTGTTCGGAATCGAGGCTATATTTGTCTATGGAGACAAGGACCGCTGTGAGATCCCCGACATCCTTGGGGAGGGAGACGTCGGAAGGGGAGGGATATATGAGTCGAAGCATAGCGTGTAACACAATCGCGGCTTCGTCAAATTGTACAACGGGGAGTGCGGATTCCTCGTGAGACCCTCCCTTCGGCAGGGGCTTTACAGCAGCAACAACCTTCTGTCGTAGCGATGGCGATGCAAGGGAAAGGACGGTCGTATGAGTACGGAATTCGATGCCATCCTCAGAGCGGCAAATGAGATCGGGGGCGGGGTTCTCCGCAAGCACACAACCCTCCATTTCGGACAACGGCCGTAACGATGGCAGAAGGGAATGCCGGAGGGAAGTTGCGTGGGGGTTGAGGAACTTGAACCCCCGTGGAACCTTGCGCTGCAGCCGGTGGTATTCGCGAAGGCGGAAATAGTCTGCAGCTGTGATCCCACTCATGTCTCCCAAAACAGTGAAGTCAGGAGGTGCAAGCGACATATTCTGCGCAGCGCAGTACGCTACGCTTTCGAGGTCGAGCCTGCATCCGACGCCCCAGATCTCGAGCGGGCAATATGGAGCAAGAGCGTCGAGTTCCTCCGTTAGCATCGTAATAGGCAATTCCATCTCGAATTTCAATGCAGCGCTGAGAGCAAGTTCGATCTCCTCGAGGGATCGCTCCTTCGTCTTGTTGATGGGGTAGCAGATACGGAGCAATGGATCGAGGGCTTTGCTGGTTTCGCTGATATCGATGATAGGGCGGCCGTACTTCAGCTGCTGTTGGTCGACAGGGGGTTGTGGAACCTCGAACATGCTCTCGAAGAACGGCGACGCAGCCATAAGGATTTGGCTGTAGACGTGGAAGTCGACGTGATCGGACGTGCGGAGGATGATGTCTGCATTGGCCTTATCGAAGGGATACGAGGCAGTGGTCGGCTGGGGAGTAGTTGCTGAGACGCTGTTCGACATGGGTGTCTAGTGCTGATAAGGGTCAACGCTGTGAGCGGACGTAGGAGTGTCCTGAAGCACGGTCGTTGAGTGCGAAGAAGGGAATGCAGGCTGGAAGAGTCCTCGTGTGTTACACGCGCTACCGCAGCACGCGACTTAGGCTTCTCAGAAGACTCCTGACCTCTACGTTATACGTACTGACAATCAGACTCTAGAGCTGGAACAAGTCCTTAAACGTCTCTTGAACGGCGTTCTTCTCCTCATATTCCTGTGTCAGACTACATCGCAGAGTCAGCATCAGAACAGTTAGAGGACACGTATCAGAGAGCCCACCGCTATCATCTAATTCCAGCCATTGAACAAACCACCATATTCATTCCTACACTTTCGGTCTCACAATATGCACTGATCTGACACACATCCTTCCATCCATTCAAGGCCAGGTCCCAGTCAGAATCACAGACTAACCCCCACTACTCATCTCCAACAGCGCCTCGATGCTCCTCCCCAAGTCGCCCTCATTCGCCTCCAACACCCACTCCACGACCTCGATATCCGTCGTAGGGAAGATCTGCCGCAGCGTCTCCTTCGCCGCCACCGCCGCCTTCTCGTGCGCCCGGTCGATCTCCTCCTGCAGTCCCGCCAAGTCCAAGTTCGGCGAAGGTGTCCGGGAAACGTGCGGAGGGCTGCCCGCCTGCAACGCCTGCACGCGCGGCGGCTGGAGCAGACCGGTCGTTGTCGCGTGGGGGGGCGCCTGCGATGGCCCGATCGCGAGTGGTTGGTTGGTGTACGGTCCGAGGCTCTGCGCGCGATAGCGGGACGGGGTCTCTTCGGGTGGCTGTGGGATGTACGGGAACTGTGCGGACGAGGCGGAATGGATGCTGGGCTGCGGCGAGCCTCGACGTACGCGAGGCTTGTACGGGGTCTGTATAGATTGGTACTCGACCTGCCCGCCTGGCCCAACTGGAGTCTGCGGATAGTTCTGAGGATACGCCGAGTGCCCGTCCTGTTCGTACAGCTGCTGTTGCTGCTGTTCGCGGCCGAGCTCAAGCGGGGCGAACGGCCCGGGAAGGTAAGACAGAGTGTCTTCCGCGCCGTCGAGGACCTCGTTGAATATTCGACTGATGGCGCTGAGCGGTTTGGATATTGTGTCGCCTGTCTTCTGAAGGAATCGACGCGCGTCTTCGCTGAGGGTCTGCGCGGGTGTTGGAAGGGAGAGAGGTTGTGCCGACTCCTCGCCAGCGTGCGCACTGGATGCGCTAGTTGCGACGGGAGGGGTGCTGATTCCAGATCCGGGTCCTGGTGTAAAGCCGCGTTCAGGGGTCTGAGAGCCTGTACTGGGAAGTGATTGGATAGCTTCCTCGACATTCCTATATAGATGAGACATCAGGAGTATTAGAGACTGTAGATAGCTGGATGACGTACTTCTCAAATTCCTCCTGAGTGATGTTAGATAGCGATGTATGGTCCATAGTCTCTATGAACGATACAGCACCCATCTGAAGGCACCATATCAGAACAGGGCAGACATCGCGGATCAGGCCACGTACCAAGCTGGAGAGGTAGTAGCCTGCCTCGCTCTGTAGCTTTGTTGGATTTCGGAACCTATTGATAAACCTGACGGTCGACAACTGTTAGACTCACATATATAGACTCGCAAGAATCTAACTGACTCGACGTTGGAGAGCAGATGTGGAGGGTTCGCCTTGATCACCACGTAGATCAAAATGGGGATGAAACTGTCTGCGCTCTCGTCCTTGTGTAGATGACGGATCAATCCTATTGGATACACTTCAGTTTAGCTCGGGACCTGAAACGAGGCGAGGCGGACCGAAGATGACCTTGCAGCAGTTCAGTATGCAGATAAGCTTGTCGCGAGGCGCCTTGTAGTGGTTGATCTTCAGTAGCTCTGTTGGACGCAGATTTTGTCAGTCATCACTTCCTGATGGTCGACGGTGCAACGGATACCTTGCTGAGCGAACATGAGGAACCCCTCGCTACCCTCTCCCTCCGGAACATCCAAGTGCTTAGCCTCTAGCCATCCAAACAATGCGATGCGTTGCTCCAATACGCGATCTCGCTCGAGGTCATCTGTGGTGACCGGACGTGGCGGAACGGCGCGGGCAACTTGTGGTGTGAAAGTGCTGTGGAGTGATCAGGGGAGAGAGACTGCAAATACGTATGTTTGCTCACAATTCATATAGCCTGTTCATGACCAGCTTCTCCATGCCCTCCATCGCATTGTCGAATTCGGCGTCTGACGCGTTCCTCCACACTTCGCATTCGCGCATCCGGAGCGAGATGAACTGAAATCAGGGTAAGTCGCGCGGGGACGAACAACTTGCGCAAAATCTCACATTCAGGAAGTCGTTGATCAGCTTGACTTGGTCGTTGACGGTGAATGTCCGTTTCGCGAAATTGCTCAAGAACCTGGTGGTCGTGAGTGAACTGAGACAGATGTGGCTGATAGCGAACGTACGACCGGAGGTACTTGGCGACAGGCTCAGCCCCCTTCATCTTCATCTGGTCTAGGAACCTCTGGAAGTCGAACTGTGGTGGATCCTGCTCCTTCCCTTTCCCAGGTGAGCTGCGTCCGCTGCCGCTAGCCACGGGGCCACTACTTGAACTCGGAGCATCTTGGATCGCACGTGCGTCCTGTGTAGATTGCTGTTGCGCGAAAGATGATATCGTTGCTGGCGAGGGCACTGCAGCCGCCGAGTCCAGAGAGCGTGGTCGCTGGCCGCGGGTCAAGGGAAGAGCAAACGTTCGCGCGAGCGCAGCAAGGGCGGGGAACGCGGGTATGGGGGAGGATGGACGATTTGGCGTGGAAGGAGTCTGCGGCATTGGACTCACTAGTTCCTTGGCGGGAACAGGTGGCGGTAGTGGATGTCCTTCAGCATCCACCCATGCCTGCTGAGCCGCCTTCTCCTCCGCATTTGCCAACGGATCAAACTCGAGCAAGACCTCCTGCTTCACGGGCGGCCGCTCCGCGCTCTCCGTCGCGGGTGCAGCTGCGAGGCCCTGAGTAGCGTCGGCATCTAGTTGCGATATGTCCGGATCGATGCGCCCTTTGCTGATTTGTGTTGTGGGAGAGGATTCTTGCCATGGGTTAGACTCTGTCTCGGTTGCGGGTGCGTTATGTATTTGGACTTTACGGAGAGTGTCGCTTAGGGCTTCGTCCGTCGCCATAGATGACGCTGGTCAAAGAAATAGACAGTTCGCGTGAAGGAGCTGGAGTACAGGTGAAATGCGAAGGAGAGACCTATGTGGACGTGAACATGATGCCTCACGGAACCCTGTTCGGTCAAGCACGCATAGACGCACGAGGGATCGGCAGCGCTGGCTGTGCCCAGCGTCCTTGACTCGTTCATATACATGCGTCAAGGCCATGTCGTCTCCTCTCGCACACCCTTTCATTGACTCATCGGCAGATGTTGTCTTCATCTCGTCCGATAGAATTGCCTTTAATCTTCACCGAGTCATCTTATCGCTCGCATCCGACTTCTGTTCGCTCTCCCTCAGCCCGACCACCCTCCTTCGGGCGTGCAGTCTCAAACAGACAAAACATCGACAGATGCAGAGCTAGACGGTCCTTCCGAGCTAGACGGTCCTTCCAAGATCTCATTGACGGAACCCAGCCAGGTCCTGGATACACTCTTCCGACTATGTTATCCTCTCGACGATCCGCCACTGGACACGATCGATCACGTAGGTGCCGTGCTGGAGGCAGCGCTGAATTACGAGCTGCGCAAGGCGATCCAAATGACGTCCCGAAGGCTGCGCGAGCTGATCCCTTCTGCACCTCTTCGAGTCTATGCGATTGCATGCAAGCTTGCCCTCGAGGACGAGGCACGTGCCGCGGCAGTGGTCGTCCGTGAGACGAAGGTTCAGCACGAATATGTGGAGGAGCTCGAGGATATATCCATTGGCGCGTATCACCGCCTTCTCTACTTTTGCGAGACGGGTCGTGACCCTGGAGGCCTCTTTTTCTCCCACCGTTCCTCCTCACACCGTTCGCACTCCCACCGTTCCTCCACAACGAAGAAGAAGAGGAGGGGCAAGCCTGCTAAACCCGCCCCCGGAGGAGCCGACTCTCTTGCGACATCCGTCTCTGTTGCCCTACCACCGTCGTCACTATCGGGCACCACTACCCCTTCTCCGCCTCCAACGCGCTCCCGCGGCGCTTATCCCTTTGACCGTATAGATTGTGAAGTTGAGCTCGAGATGTCGGATGGAGTTCGCTTTGGTGTATCGAAGGATATGGTCTCTCTCTGCTCCCCGGTGCTCTACGCTCTCATTCGTGATCTTCCCGCCCCTGCTTGCGTACCAATACCCGAATCCAGTAAGGTGGCAGATATCATCTTACGCATATGCAGTCCGGTCGAAAGCCCTTCGGAGGGTATTAAAATCCTCGATCTTGACTCGGCTCTCGCCGCGGCTACGAAGTATAAGATGCCCACGGCCATCCATTATCTCCAGGGGGCACTACTCGCTCGAGCAGAGACAGATGCGGCCACATCCCTACTCCTCTACGCCGTCGCCTGCCGCCATGGCATGCGCGATCTCGCTTTGGTCGCCGCGAAGCGTACGTTCCGCATGGAGATCACCAGCAATCTATATCCGAAACTCGAAGCCATCGATATCTCCGCAGGTTATCTCCACCGCCTTCTCGAGTACCGTCGGCGCTGTCGGGACGCCGTACGGGCGATCCTCAACGTCAATAAAACCGACTGGATCGACCGCGGCTGGCAGACAAGTCTCGCGGCATGCTGTTCGAGAACTCGTAATGCATTGCCGTGCTGGTATGGGAAATACGTCGATAAGATGGTAGGGGAGGGCTGGCCTGGCCCTGCGTCAGTTATGAAGCAGGAGGTTCTCCACGCAGCACTCATGACCTCATCCTACTACGATTGCAGCTATTGCCACCGTGAAAACGGTGCTATCCTCCTGTTTCAATTCGGCCAATACGTAGCAGAGACTATGCTGAAACTCGAGGACGAGGTGCGATTTTTTGTGCAAGCTGTTTGATGGTGGGATACTGCTATTGACCACCTGGTTGGCCTGTCTAGGTCGCTTTGGAATGGCTTACCGAAGTAAACGTGGAGAAAGAATTGTAGTACATATATGGCGTTTTATGACGCATTAGACATCGCTAGTACTGCTGTTGAGCAATACTATCGCGACCCCAGTGTTCGGACAGACCCCAGTGTTCGGACAAACGACCGTATCTCCGTCATTGGCCACTCGATAAACTTGCAAGTTGGAAGGTAGGTGCCCATATGTGTTCCAAATAAGCAGCAAAAAGAACTGAATTTATATCATAAGCCCTTGGGGCGATCTTGCGGAAGGGAGTGGTGCAACCCTTCCCTATCAAAGCTTCGGGAGTCTCGCTTCGTATCCCTCTTCGGGCGCTTCCATACAAATTTCGTGTACGTATTTCTACCTACGCATACCACTCACTACCCAATTTTCCGAGGCCTGCTCAGGGGAACACAGAGGAGAAACAAGAAGCAGCCCTCAAGGGTGTGACAATGCAGCCACAGTTTGACTCTCCGACTTGCTCGGGATGCTCGGCTAAGGCTCATCAAGCTGGAGAACGGGGATTCCCCGAAGACCGGCAGGTGTCGGCAAGCGTGACAGATCGTGACCTGCTGTGCGGAGAATTGTCCGAACACTGGGGTCAGGCCCTGTATATCCTGTCTCCATTGCTCATGTCTCCTTCAATATGTCTCATGTTTGGCACGTAGTCTATGCATATGCATCTCCTTTTGCATGCCAAAATTGAGCATTATCGGAGTACAGGAAAGTACATAAAACGAAGGGTTTTCGCAGCGGGCGTCTTTTTGTCCGAACACTGGGGTCGCGATAGTATGGAATCATTCAGCGTAGCAGGAGCAGGGGTATACGTGGACGACTATCACCACATGAATACGAGTCTGAGGCTACCGGAGAACATGGAACAATCGAACCAAACGGGAGAAATGGTAGCGACCCTAATAGCGACCATGAAAGCTGATGCTACCTCGAAATTGGTAGAGATCACGGACTCAAAAACGGTGATGGGAGGAGTCCTGGAATGGAGACAGAAACACGAGGACCAGGGATATATAACGCAAAAGAACGCGCACCTGGCGAAGGCAATCATCGCAGCCCTAAGGAATAGGAAGGCACGGACAGCCTTCAAGTGGGTGAAAGGCCACAGGGGACATCCTATGAATGAGAAAGCCGACAAGCTTGCAGGGGAAGCGGTGACTAAAGCGGGCCCAGACGAGTTAAATGTTGTTATTCCGCCAAACCTGAACCTATCAGGGGCAAAGCTATCCTGCATGACTCAGAAGTTAGCATACAGGGCGATAAGGAACATAAAGGAGGCCTCCCTACAGAGCAGGAAACGCACTGAGAGAAATCTAGAGAACGTCGCGAGCGAGATAAGAGAAGTGTTCGGACTTCACCCTCCTAACAAGATGATCTGGAAGGGGTTACGCTCACGACATATTACGCACGGAACACGTTATTTCCTATGGATGGCAATGCATGATGCTTACATGATTGGAGACCAATGGCTACGCCCGAACATGTCAGCCGAGCTGCAGGAGCGGGCAACGTGCAAAGTATGCGGGAGTACGGAATCCATGGACCATATCCTCTTCAGATGCGAAACAGTGGGTCAGCAAACAGTATGGCTACTACTAAAGGACATATGGTCACATACAGAGATGCCCTGGAGGGACCCGGGGTGGGGAGCACTGGGAGCGGCGTGCGCGTTTTTCAAGAACGAGAAGGGCAAACGGCAACCTGATAAGGAAGCGCTGTGGACTATCCTATGCACGGAGTCTGTACACCTAATCTGGAAACTAAGGTGTGAGCGTGTAATCCAGAACGATGGCCAGGAGTTCACCCAGCGGGAGGTAACTAGCCGATGGTATGCTGCGATCGAACATCGGCTACAACTGGACAGGAGAACGGCGGCTCTTGCAAGAGGGAAGAAAGACATAAATCCGGACTTAGTAGAACGTATTTGGTACCCTATCATAGAAGGAGCCAGAGACTTACCACACGATTGGGTGGTTGATAGCGGGGTTTTAGTGGGTATTAAGAGAGGACGTAGACAGGATAATTAGCTCGCTGGTCGCCCTGGATGACACGCCCCTCTGGAGTCCCACACTCAGTGCGTAAAGGCATTTCCTCGCAGGTTCTGGTGATAGATGTGTGAAGATTTGACGCGATCGGGGTTGTTTTTACCTGGACGAGTCACCAAGCGCGCCTGACCACCTTTCGGGGTGGAAAAGTCTACTAGATAAGCCTTAGGGACCACAGTAGATACAGGCAATAAAGCGTTTCAACCTGGAATCATTCAGCGAGCCACCGGCCGGTACGGATAAACGTTGGCGCCCATACTGCCTCGAATTCACCTCCACAGCGTGAAGTGCCAGATTTTGGCGGGAGGAGAACAAGCGGAGAATGAGCACATTGCCGCCACGTTCTCCCCACATTGCCGCCACATTCTCCAACAGAGGAGAATGTGCGTCTTTTCCACGAAGACTCCATAGATTGTCCAGACGTTGCCTGCACATTCTCTGCACATTCCCGAGTGTGGAGAATGCGCGATGGATACTACGTAGCACGGCTTATCTGACGTCACTTAGCAAACTTTAATCAATTTGTGAGCGCGTGCTCCCCGACCCATTCGCGAGCTCATGCGGGACCGCACATCCACCGCGCAGTAATCGCTTGGGCATACAATTGCAGGCAATACATATGTTCGCTATATAGACTTACGAAACAGATCTAGAGGGATGCGTGGCCTGTTGCGGTTGAAAGCTAGCGTGCGGTTGAAGCTAGCGCGCGGCTTGTAGAGGGCCCTCCTGCTGGCCGC